GCCGAGTGAATGCAGACTATGTTGATTCAATCATTTTACAGCTCTGGTGGGTAGAAGCTGATGGGGGGAAGGAACACCTAAGGCTTCTTATATGAAAAGCGTGCGTGCTCACAACGTAGCATTTAAACGATTTACGTACATTCCCGAAAGTTCATGGGGAGTGTGGAAAAAGTGCGACTTGCAAAGGCAGAGCACCAGACCAGCTGGTGTTGAGCTGATTCCACCTCATCATCCCCCATGCAAGGATAGTCGATAACATTTAGCCTCATCGCATACTTATCTATCAGGCAATAAGTAGTTCGGACTCTCAGGTAAAGCCAGAGAAGTAATTTGCTTAGTCTCAAGAGATACCTGTACCGCCTCCGGTCTACACGTGGCTGGAATGATTTAGCCACCTTACATTCTATAGGCTTCGCCCAGCGCTCGCCGAGCTGACAAAGTGCCGATCTGTCCAGAAATACATAGAACACACTAGGTCAGAGGAGCACCCAGATTTCCAACCGATCCTGTCTTGCATGCTCAACGTCCATGCAGTTTCCAGCGAATTCGCTGTGACCCGGAACCCAAATAATCTTAATAGCGCAGTAATCCGTTACGGTCGATAAGAAAGTCAAACAATCTTTCAACCATCCTTGATAGCTGCTTGGCTCTGTTTACACCCTAAGATGTAGTAAACAGGGACGTTAAAGAAGGATATGAACCTCCTAATGCACCAGGGCAATTTTATAAGTCAGTGGCATTTTAAATATACATATATAATGGCCAAGTCTTCAATAAAAGCTAAGCTAATAGCTTAAATTTACCGTGCATGCCGCCTATTACCTATGCCGTATTTTCATTCGGCATTAAATTTCAAGTTTAATGATAAGTTTGGGCATCCAAAAATATTAGTGTTATTGCTTTGAGAATAATGCTGGATTTCCACCAAGCATTAAATGGCAGACATTTTAATTATAAATTTGGGCATTAAAAAATATTCTTGGCATTACTTATAACAAAGTCATTACACTCATTTCCACATGACATTTTTGAAATGCCTCCAATTTTTTAGTAATTTCAATGCCTAGTGGAA